AAAATTTATTAAAAAAAAAATAAATTGTTATTCTTTTTATTTTTATAATATAAATAAACACTTAAGTGTCATGTAAAGGCAATTTGTTATTGCGGTCATATGACTTTACTAGCATTAATTCACGTTATGGAGGGTGTGCGGATACTTTTGTCTACCCTTTATATAATAAAATATGATTTTCTTTCATATTATTAAGTCAATCAGCTTAAAATTTCATATAGTAACATAATGATCATAATAATAAATGATCGATATATTTATTTGTTTATTTAGTTTTAGCCTTCAAATTTTTTCTTTTGACAATTATGGTAAAGGTTATACTTGAATAATGTCATATAATTGTAAGTACTTTATAGAATAATGGTATCTGTTATGCTAAACTTTACATAAATTAACCCCTTTCTCACGTTTTTCTATATATGATTATATCAAAAAACTTAAAAATGATAATACTTTAAACCTCTTATCTCACTCTAAAAGGCCAAAGAAACTTTCTCCTAAAAATGTCATTTTCTAGATCGTCTTATTTCAGCAAATAAATTTTCAAGATGTGCAGAACTTGCGAATATTTTGAACAAAAATTATATTGAACTTAATATAACTGATCAGACTATACTTAATGAACTTAATAATCTTAATTATATTAATACTTTTTCAAAATCTATACTCTTATTAACGGATATTCAGAAGTAACGTAGAGTGGAATTTGCTATAAAATACAGAAGACAAAATTGAAATAAAGTTATTTTTTCAATGAAACCACATTCCAAATGTTTTAAAATATCCAGAAAGTCTTTTATAAAGTTGGCATACAACCTTCATATAAACCTATGGTAAAACATTTATACAAAGTTTATGCATGGGATGTTTTTTAACAAAAGTTCCAATTGGCTTTCTTTTTTTACAAGAATAATAGATAAGAATTTTTATCATGAAATTTTATCTGAAAATCTGTTTGAAAATGCAAATTCTATGATGAAAGGGTTCTAGATATTCTAACAGGATAATGATCCTAAATATATAGCAAAAAAACTAAAAAACTTCTTTCTGCACATTGTCTAAGATTGTTAGACTGATCATTAAACAGCTTAAACCTCAATTCTATCAAAAATTTATGGGCGATTTTGAAGGAATATGTAGAAAAACAGGTTAACAAGTTAGCTCTTAAAAAAACCAGTTACTGTTGATACTTTTTGTGAAATAATCCAAGAAGAATAGGAAGGAATTGAGCTAAAAATCTTTCTTAATTTAGTTCGTAGTATGAAATTGAGGTTAAAACTGGTAATTAAGGGTGATGATAATAAGATACTATATTAACTATTATTAAGTAAACTTATTTACAAAGTTACAAAGAATATGTATATAAATTTTTATTTATATATGACATTTATTTATGTTTTAATTAATAAAAACGTGATTCTAATTACTTTTTTTAACCACTGTATATATCTATAGTTAATGCTTTTATCATGAACTTTTACTAGTTAAAAATATTTCTATATAGTATTATCTTCTATCCTATTATTTTTAATATTACTAATGTTTTTTTTTAGAATTCTTTTATTATCTCATTTTCTAGATATCAAATTTTTAATTTAAAATTTCAGAAAAATTAAATAATATTATATATAAGATAATTCTAAAATTTTACTTTTAACTATTATTTATTTTTCTTTAAAAATATATCTATAAATCTAATTATTTTTTAATTATATCTTTTCTTAGATTCATTAAATCAATACAATAATACTGATTTTTCTTACTAATATTTTAAATAAGTTATTTGAAATTATTTAACTAGTTTAAATTAATTTTTTTAATCAGAATTATTTAAAAAGTTTTACTAATTTGCATTAAATTTATTATATATGTTAAAATTAAATTTATTAATTGAAAAATAAATTTATAATGCATATAATAATATTATTAGTTATCTGAAGGTTTTATAATACTTATTTATGATTTATATATTAAATAAAATAATAGGTTAATAGTATGATATGTTTAATATATAAATTTAATGATATTATAATTTAAGGGTTAGGAATAAATTTTATTAAATATTTATTTATCTCTTGATTTCAAATTAAAACTTTGTAACTTATTTCTGATACAAGATAAAACCATTTTTTTTATAATAAATTTATAATTTTCACTATACTACTTAAAATATTAATTCAATTTTTTATAATTATAAAATTTATATTAAATAGCTTAAATTATTATACTCTTTTATTTAAATTAATAATTTATAAAAAATTTTCTTTTGATTCTTTTTATATATTATATAAATTGATTTTTATGTTGCAACTAATGATTTTTGTTATATGACTTTAGTAATTTTTAATATTAATTAATAATATGCATGTTTTATATATATAATTTTTAATCAATTTTAAAATGCATGAAATTAGTTAAAAAAAATAAGGTTTAAATAATTTAAAAAAAAGATTTATTTAAATATTATTATAATTCTTTGAATTCAAAGTAAAAATTTTAAATTGAATAATTAATATTATTAATATTAAAAAATAAATTTAATAAAAATTATAAATAAAATATTAAATAAAAACATATTAACATTATTGAATAAATTTAAAGAGAAAAATGTAATTATATAACAAGTTTTTTACTTTAGTAAAAGATCATTATTTAAGGATATTTAGATTCATTTATATATAATAAAATCATTATTAAATTATAAAATTCTACATTTATTTCTTTTTTACTTATAAATAATATATAATATGCAAGATAAATTCATTATTTTGAATTTGAAGATCTAATGATCACACAAAAATTTGCTACTATAGATAGATGCTAATAATATTCTTGAAGATAAAGGATTGTATAATCAGTACAGCTAATACAAAAAGATAATGAAGAGAATGAATAAATAGTACCTGTTTAATCCATTTCTTCTTCTACAGTTTTATATGTTTTAGATAATTTTTTATGATGGATTTGCTATTGAACTGTTTTCATGACAGTTCGTACTTTATGAAGTCAAGTAATATTATACAACTTTAATAGTAAAAAAGCGTTCTACAATGTATGCAACCTCCGTTATAATTCATAGAATAATATTCCTGTTAAATGAAGCTTAACCGAAAAAAAGCTTGAAAGTTATGGTTAACTAATGAGTTGCGACGTTTACAATGATTGTGATCATCGGAAAATTCATTTAAAAAATTTCTATTAGATAATCTCGAGGAAATTATGTTTAGGAGTCAAAGATATAGAAAAGAATTTATTAATATAATGTGAAGAAATTCGTCATAGTATATATATTCCAGGACAATGATTATCTGACAGGGGAAGATGACTGGATCGTGCCCGTTCTTCCCTTTATTAATTTTCCACGGCAAACCTTCAAACAAATAATAAATAATATAATTAGTAAATAAAGTTTAAGGAAAATTATCAAAAACCAATTCTTTAAGGGATTCAGCGACTTAAATAATGCTGATCATTGAATATATTGAATATATTTCACTTGTATTGCATGCTTCTCATCAAAATCCTAAATTTTCAATATGCATTGTCAAAATTCAACTTACCATATAAAAAAAGTTATATATCAAAAACTAACATATTACTCCTGAGTTACGTAACTGCGAACGAAAAATAAACTTATCACATTGAAAGTGACAAAAGTTTCTTGAATTTTATAAATTCAAGGAAAATTTATAAAAATAATAAAAAAAAAAAAAACTACGGCTCCGCATTTTATAAAATTAAATAAATAATTCCAGATATAGGATGATCAGCCAGATACTGCGGCGCTTTGTACACGTGATTATTTATGTATAGCCATAAGCTGAATCTTCAAGGTCTCGACATTTAATTGAAAATTCAGTAACGATTTCGTGAAAACGTTTAAGAGTTCTTGTACTATTCAGAAATAAAAATTATTTTATGTATCAGCAATAAATAACATAAATTAAATGTCAAGAATTTACCTTAGAATTCCTTTAGCAAAGTTTTGTTTGGTCATTTGATTCACGTGTGGTGAAGGGAAATTGTCCTATACAATACAATTATTAAATTAAGAATTATTTCTTAAAGCGTATTATCGTAAATTTTACCTGTGCTAATAAGGTTCTCAACCATTCTCTACTAGCTTCGATGTAACGTCCTATCATCTTAAATAAAACTTGAGACAGTGAAATAACAAATGATCGTGGTAATTTACCTCCAATTCCCTATATTTAAAATAATATTCATTAAAAGATTAAAGTCATGAGATATATATATCTAAAAGAGGAACATAAACTGTTTACCAATAACAATTCTCTCATTATCTCTAATCCATATGTCATCATAACATTTTCAATTCCCGCTGCCAATTCTTTATCATCATAATTTTGTCCTACGAATTCTCCCTTTACGTCATGATAAAATGAGCACAATAATATATATGTTCATGATAATCAAGGTCATTGCTTACCATAAAATTCGCCGCAGAATTCGAAGCTAATCTTTCCTGTAAACCCAGGCCTGCTACAGAGAATTTCATAATACTATTAAACATATCAGATTGTAAAGAATATAATATTAAAGGACATTTTTTAAGGATCTATTTATAGAATACATGAACGATAAATTAGTATTATAATACAATCATTTTATAGGTTGAAGGTTTTTAGGAATCAAATCATACTTCTGTGAGTAGCATAAAATACGAATGAACAACATCCGGATATTGATCCATCTCTAATATAATAAGATAATCAATGCAATTAAGATACGTATTCAATAGAAGATAAATTTTTATAAAAAGAACAAATTTACCAGTTTGATTTCTAATATTTTGTATAGTAGTAGAAGTTAAGGAGATTAACATATCTCTCAAAGCGACGCTGTGTTTCGAACTTGATCCGTTTACAATCACTATTTGAACTGCAATTTCTAACCAATTAGCGTGTGGATGTCGTTGGAAAGAAATTTGAATTAGAAATACGATCACTTCGAAAGGCATGGAAAGCAAATGTGGTGTAATACGAATTCCAGTATTAAGGAATTTGCAAAGACACTAAATAATTAAATGAATATTAAACTCGGACAATTATAACAATAATAATGAGAAAGAAGTATATGTGATAAAGATACCTCTACGACTTCACTATCTTGATACCAAATTTCTGCAATATCACGAATAATTTCTGATAAAGTATTAACCAGACCTTGAGCTGGTATTAAATCAAAAGCAAAATGATTTCGTTTAATTTCTGAATCACTTCCATCAATTATTATTAATTCTTCGTCGAGTGGTTGAATACCACGTCCACAACATGTGAGATATTCTAACTGTGTGATAATTATTTCCCGAAATTGAGGAGGATTCTAACAATGTGGAATATAAAAAAAAAAAAAAAATTAGAAAGAATTAGGATATTGATTACAGATGACCATATCTATTACTCAAACCTGTTTTCCAAGTACTATAGCATCCTTCATTGTTTGGATAATATCTCTCGTTATAGTCTATCAAAATAAATTAACGTAAGAGTTATTTCTCTGGTCATGTGAATATATTTTACAAATTAATTTACCAATAATGGTTGTATCATTTTTTCCGGAGGCAAAACCTGAATTACATCTGCTATTGATTCGATGACCTTTTGCTTTTCCCTTGGCTAAAATAAAGTAAAAAAAAAAATTAGTTTATATTCAAGAAAATAAAATTGGTGATATAATTATAGTGTAAGAAACGTACTTCAATGCTTGGACCAACTACTATATAAATATTAACTAGATCTTCTATACCATTAACTAATGAATCACGACAAATATCACAAATTTCCTTAAATGCTGTTGCAGCTGCTAAAGCGAGTTCAATATCGCTTAGTGCGGGAATAAGATAATTAAGTGCAGATAATAAGTATTGGGGGTTATTTTTGAACCATTCTGCATAAGAACCTTTAAGAAAAAAATTTCAAAATCAATAAATGAATGATACGTTTATCAGAATTGATTTTTTTTAAAAAATAAATCGCAATACCAATAAGTGAAAGTGCAGTGTTTCTTAGCTTTGAATGACCTTGTACTGGCAATACTCCATAAACTTCTGCACCAAAAAGTCGTGATAGATAAATGTTTTCGCCATGTTCTATAGCCTCGGCTATTGATTTTATACAAAATAATGTAGATTCTAAATCCTAGTACAAAAACATAATTACTAAATTTTACGATAATTTAAATCATAAATTTAAAGTAATCAGAATAACTTATTACCTGCCACTGACTTGGATCTCTTCCTGGTGCATTTATTTGAGATATGACTAATTCTATTAGAAAATCCAGCATTTGGGATCGCAATACGTAATAGGCATTCATTATTGTATCACCAACATCCCTTCGATGATGCCTAAATCGTTCTTTTAAATCTAAATAATTAAATAATTATATTTAATTAAGCAACGAGCTATATACTGTATATGCAATAATATAATAATAATAATTGACACCTTTAGACCATTCTGCCCATTTTGAATCTGGCGGATACTGTACTTTACACCGTAAAACCTCTATGAGTCTACGAAAAACGACCATAGATGATTCTCGTATTTGCTGAAAGTCTGAGAGTAAAATATTGGGTGTTTCGGCTTCTGATACAGAAGTATTATTACCAGATGCATTAGGAATGACTGGAATTACTTCTAGATCGTATAAAGATTCTTGTAACATAAACCAGAACTGTAAAGGCATCTCACTAATGTACATTGGTATACTACGTTAAGAATTATGCATAATTTAAAAAGAAAAAAAAAAAGTAATCTGAAAAATTCAAGATAAAAGGATATTTCTTGATCTTGTCCAAAGTAGCCAGGAAATCCTGCAAACATTAACATCATTTCTAAATAAACAGATATATCTGGCCTTAAAAAATTAATTGCAATATAATTAGTAAATTGGTCTCCGAAGGTTGTCATCAATCGACAAAGATTTCTTGCAGCAAGTTCATCTCTATCTGATAATATTATTAATATAAGAACAGTTTTGAAATTAATGATTTTACTTTATCAAAATTTTTTCTTTTATAAAAAAAAATAATGCTCTTCTGTAAATTAATATAACATTGCTTTAACCTATTCTCTGGATTTTAAGTATTACCATTAATAGCTTTAGTTATTTGATTTTTTGCCCAGTCACTAGTAATACAATGAAGTATTTTTTCACAAACTGTATTCTGATAGCTAGTAATACGAGGTTGTGAAATAAATTCCACTAAAACTTCTGTTGCCGCCTCATTAGTAGATTCAAATTGGAATAAAGTTATGACATGATCAACGAGAAGGAAAAGCGTTCTTTAAATAAGATAATGTAATCAAGTCGTGAGTATATTAATAATTTAAATTTGCACGATATAATAAACAATGTACGTTACTCAAAGGGTACTCCATATAGGATCCAGCTTTGCAAACATCGAAGACATTTTTGTTTTAGTATAATGTCCCGTTCTGCATATCCATGATGATTAGATAATATAGTCTTCAGTATTGACATCACGCGTGGAATTGAATCAATGAGTTCCTGATTGACTTTTACTCTTCATGTTGAATAGAAGAATTATAAATTAAGTTTGTAGCTATTTTTTAAAAATATTAATTAAAAATTTTTATTACTTTCTTTCTCCTATTAAATCAGCTCTTGAAACCTCCTCAGGAACAACTGTTAAAAATTCAAGAAGCGGTAATTCAATAAATAGAACCTGCCCCTGGTTTTGTGCCCTAACAGCCAAGGATCCGGTATGTAAATAATCAAAAAAATCTGATATGAAGTTTGACCAAATTTCAGGAACGGCTTGAATTGCAAAGGCTGTAAGCTTTTTTTAATTTTAACAAAAATTTATCATTAATTCTATGAATTATAATAAAAATACTGTTATATATAGCAAAACTTACAGCTAGACATAATTTAGTAATAACGACCATTGGTCCATTAGAAAGACGCAAAATCCATCCTAGAAGTTCATTTCGGACCCATTCTTTTCGGTCAGGAGGTAAAGTATGCCTTTAAAAAAAAAAAAAAGAACGAAAATTTCACATAATATAAAACATATTTGAAAAAATTTGATAATTCATTTTTATGATTCTTTATTAATAAATTACAAATACAAAAAAGATGTAAGTCTATTTAATTAATTTCTTATATTCTTTCGTATTCTTCTTACCAGTCTCTTGATATTTTAACTTGAAAAGTGTGTGCCCCGAAGAATTGAGAATTAACTGACTATATAGTCAGATAAATGTAACAATTTACTAGATTTGTTCTACTGCCCTCCCAAAAATTCACATCAAATTGACTAAAATTAAATCTATTAACTCAATAAAAAAATGTTAATCGACATAACCTCAGAAGCCAATAATTGAGACGCTAATTCCCAAGCATAATGTTGCTTTTGAAGGTTTTGCAAGTATTCTTGCGCCGACTTAGAAAACTGAGTAACAACGCCTCCATAAAGTTGTGCTATAATCTTTTGTTTAAAAGTTTAATAAATATATTATTGCGCTTTACATATTTAAACGAATTCAGAAAGAAAAGATAAAATAAGTACTTGTTCAACTTGTGCTAACGAAGGTGGTTGAGCGTCCATATCTAAAGTAATTAACGAACAAGCAAAAAAAATTATTTTAGTTTATATGAATTGGCAAATGTCACGGGATAACGATCGACAAAATAATATATAATAAATATGATCACATGATATGCAGTTCAGAACTTCAAGTGTAGAAGAATATTATCATAAAGTTGTGGACATAACAAACATGTTTTTTTGTACTGTATAGAGATTTTTTCACAACGTAATTTCAATATTTTGGTCAAACTAAACAGACGAAAATACTGAAGGAGAGTTGTTCATAAAGAAAATGTTTTGCATATTCAGTAGATATTGAAATTTTTATGTATTAATTTTTATAAGGCTAGCTTAAATAGTTATGGAGTTATGAATTTTTTGTAATACTAAGATGCGGTTTTTTAGTAAAAAATTTAGTGGTAATATTTAATTTTAATAAAGTGTAATTATTAGTTTTGACATTGTTTTTGGACTTTTTTGGCATTAATTCAAATAAATTTTTACTTAATAAACTTTGTATTTTCATAAACTAAAATTTTTAATCATTATGAAAAATTAAAATAATTTAATTATTATTTTATATTTAAAAGTTTTGTCAATTTATTACTATTTAAAAATGCATAAAAATACATGTAATTTTTTGAAAATATAGAATATTTTTATTTTTTCTAAAAGTGCAAAAAAAATTTTAAGTACATGAAAAAATTTCTAAGATAAAAGTTATACAAAAATATGTGGCTGATGATGATTAATTTAAATCAATTATATTTGAGAAAAGATAAAGGCTTACATTCAGAGTACAGGTTAAGGAACCTCTATAATAAATATTAATTTGTGACATTTTATCAAAAACAATAACAGACTTATTTTTTGTTAGATGATAAGTTAATTATTTTTATTATCATATTTAATAAACAAGTGGTGAAGAAAGTATAGTCATTGAAGAAATTTCTCAAGATCAGTTGCATATAAAATGAAATATCAGCTAGCTTACATGTCATTACTTTCTCAATGCTGTTAAGGAGGTTTAGATGCTATCTTAACCCAATGGAAAAAAAAAATATGAAGAATTTATTTATTATGTGATTTTTTCACATATATACTTTTATTATTCAATATCAAAAAAAATAAATATTTTTTCAATAGTTTTCTACGCTTTAACAACTTTACCATTTTTATTAATAATACAAGAATATAAAATGTTAAAAATAAGTAATATTATTTGAAATAGTAGTGAAGAGATTGCAAAATTTCAAGTTCATTTAACACTTAGTGAACTATTAACCAAGGTGATTTAAAGTTATATGTTACTAATTGGTCTACTTATAATTTATTTACAAATTTATAAATGAATATCAAAACAATTTTTATCTTTAAAATTGGTAATTTCAGAACTGAAAAACATCCTTCAAAATTTATAGAAAATAATAATGCAACTGCTTCAAATAGTAATAAAAAAGTTAGTACAGAACAAAACCTACTAATAGTTTTTATTCATAAAAATTTTATATTTTTTTACCTTTTAAATATAAACAGATTAAAACTACAGAATGCAAAATAAAGAATTAGCTTCAGTAATAAGTATTTAATCTGACAACATAATTTACCAATTAACTTTTATTAAATTTTTTTTTTTATAAGTCTAAAAATAAAGTTAAAATATCAAATGAGTCAAAATACTTCTTTCGAAATAAGTGTATTTCTTTTATTTTTACAAGAAAAACATAATATTACAAAATGTTTAGATAGGTAGTTACAATGTATATTTATTATAGATTCTCTTATTTTACTGATTATAGTAAAATAAAAATAAGTATATATAAAAATAAAGTTTATTAATAATAATGTTTTTTTTTAAATTAAACAATTTATCTGAAAAACAAAAAATTACTTAAATTATTAAATATTAACAAATAATAAAATGCTATTATATCTAAAATATAATCTGCTAATTTATTAATATCATATAGCATTTTGTTAATATAAATATTAATAATTAAATTATATATATTAAAATCAATAATATTAAATTAAAATAATAATAAAAAATAAATTATATTTTATGAATGATTTGAATAATCTTTAAATTTACTTTTTTTTTCACAAATATAATCTTAAAATTAATAAATTACTTAATTATTATTATGACAAATCACAAAATGTTATATAAATAGCTTAGTGAAGATAATGCTGCTACTATTACAATTAAATTTATTTTTTTTTTAAGTATTTTAAATAATTAAAATAAAGTTTTATTATTTTTACTTATATAATAGTAATTATTTATATAATAAATTTAATATATTAAAATTAATTTTAAACTAAATATTTATAATAAATTATAAAATAAATAAATTTAATAAAATATTGATTTTTTATTTAAATCATTCCTGATGATTTTGTTAAACATTATCTCATGATGTAATCACGTGATTTATATCATAGTAATTGTTAAAATTATCAATCGATATAATAAACTTTTTTGTGAATTCTACTATTTTATCTTTCTATGTTTTTTTTATTATTGTTTTCTACAAAAATTCTACCTTCTTACATTCCTTTATTGTTGCTTTGCTAAAAAGAAAACAGTTTTTTGCAATACTTTCAACATTTCATTTAATAATATTAAAATAAATCTACCTTTCATTTAACCTTTTATTGATAAGTTTTCATTAGTGATATTGGTGTCCTTTTTATAATTTATACTTAACTCACATTTTTAAATTTTCAGACTTAATAAAAAAGAATGAATGAAAAAAATTTTGAAGATTCATTTTTCTAACAAACACTTACCTTTTTTCCTCCTTATTGTGATAGTATATTCAAAAAAAAACTGATTAAAATGCTTACATATCTAACATTGCTTATAAGATGATATCTAAATTATGTATCGAAATGCAGTTTGATAATTAGAATTATGCATATTTGGTTTTTTTGGCTTATGGGTATTAGATTGGCTTTGTGTGATGAATACAGAACAAATATCTTAATAAAAATGGAAGCGTTTATAAGTATATTTTTGAGTGTAAGCATGCTGAAATATTTCAGTCAAAAAAAACTATCTTCAATCCTTCAAAATAACATAATAGAGAATCGGTTAAAATAGATTACACTTGTTTTATTAATATATGCTAGGCAATTAAATCATCAGGTCTATCTATAACTAAGATGAATCTTATATATTGTAATCATTCACTTAACTCTAAAACTATTCATTTTGCTAATGTATATTGATAACTTCTTTAGAATGTAATAAATAAGATAAAATTTTATGTAAATACAATACATGGAATTGATCAATATACTTTAAGATAACTTCTTCTTGGCAAATTTAAAAAACAACTTTTTTTTAGATAGGGATTTGGCTAATGCTATTCAGTATTTTTAAAAAGATAAGATAATAGATACTAAACAGGATTCTGAAAATGATGCATCTAATCTTCTTAAAGAATTACAAAAATTTAAAGAAGATGATCTAACATAATTTATATCTTACCACTATATTAAAAATTGGCTTTATCATTTGTTTTGGATGACACCTTATCAACAAAATCTTTACTTAAGATATTATGATATTATATTAACAGACAATACAGCTCAGACTAATAAATATCAATTATCATTATATTTATTTGTAGAAGTAGATGAACATCATCGATCAAGATTACATTAATGTCTGATAAAATAACTTTATTATATATATGAGTTCTTAAAACTCTTTTAACAGTATTTAATAATTTATAACTATTAATAATTTATTCTGATTGTGATACAGGATTAGATTCAGCAATTAAAACTATTCTTCCATCTACTCAATATTTACACTGTATCTTTTATATCATTTTAAATATCAAAAAACATCTTATGCGATTACTTAGATTCTAATATATTAAATTTTAATTAGTATTTTTTTCATATTGTAATACTTTATTTAAAATAACATTTGAATTTCGATTTGAAGTATTATATATAAATTTTCAGATGCATCATTATATTTGAGAACTACTCTATATCTAATCAAGTATTAATAGGCTAAGTGTTTTACATTTCAGGTAAAAATTGATTTAGAATTAGGGTAGTTAGTATTAGAATTAGTTAGGGTTAGTTAAAATTAGTTAGGGTTAGTTAGAATTAGTTAGAGTTAAGGTTAGGGTTAGGGTTATTTAGGATTAGTTAGGGTTAGTTAAGATTAGTTAAGGTTAGGTTTTATTATAGATTAAATAATCATTATTAATTATATAAATTTTTTATTTAAGATTTTAATGCTGACATGTCTTTAACTCAACGGGTAGAATTAATTAATGCTATTATTCATAAATATGTTAATTCTCATTCAACATTAATGGAATATTTTAATGGTATACAAAATATGTTATTATCTGAATTACAAAAAGCACAATATCAGAATTATTTAACCAACTTATCATTTAGCTTAGCTTCATTATCAGCAGTTTGAATTTATTCAAAAATTATAGAAATCTTAAAAGATATTTGAACAGAGGAGGTTTTTTACATTCAAAAACTTAAATTAATATATTTTTTGAATATTTTTTGAAGCTAATTTTTTATGATCAATATTATACTTATGATAAGATATAATTCTATTTATTATATAAAATATATGAATCAATTGCTTTAATATTAATATTTTTTTTTTGATTTACTTTAAAAATTGATGCTTTTGATGATTCAATTTATTTTAAAGATTTACAGATAAATCTCAAATTGCATTAAAATCTTTTATTGATCACATTGATATTAATACCATTTTAGAGATTTGGGAGGAGAAACACATGGTAATCAATATATTATTATTTAATTATATTGCATTATGTCAAGATTATTCACATATTTGTATATGTTTACTTATAATTAGTGAAGGTCTTATATGTCGTCACTTTTTTCAAATGATGTTACATACACAAAATGCAAAATTTGCTATTACTTTGGTAAAGAATTGATAGTATAAAAGAGATGCTAACTTACAAAATATTTATACTATATATAATTTTTCTAGAATATGTGATCAAAATATAACTGAAAATTCATCTATAATTTTTATGAATAAAATCTGAAATTTTAGAAAAGATTATCTAAGTCAAGATTTTAAAATAGAACATACGATTGCAAAAAGACAAATTTATGGTGAATATGCTGCATTAGAATAAAAATTAGCATTATTAGCAGCTGAATTTAATTTAACATATATTGCAGCTACTTTATAAGGTTTAATTCACCAGGTAGAGCAATTTAATACCAATTCTATAAATAATCAAACATAGAATATGATATTGAATTCATTGCAAGTAAATTCAAAAGGAAGGCCTACTAAAAGATTAAAATTATGCTTAGAAAATAGTTTAAAGAGTCTCAAATAGGATGGATATATATGTCGAAATTGTATTAAAGATAAACATAATGCAAGAAAATGTATTGCATCATATAAAACTTGTAAAAAAAATAGACACACTTATTTACATTGTTCAAATAAAGAGAATATTTCTATTTAGATTTGTAATATTATATAGTTTTTTAGAATTTTTAATTGCATTTATAAAACTTTAAATTTATATATTTTTTAATATCACTAATAAAATAATGTATTAATCACATAATCTGCATATTACATCATAATAGGAATAGCATTTAAAAAAATTATTAGGGATGATTATTAAAAATTCTCTAAAATATTATCTTTGATTATTTTAAAATTTTATATATTATAATATAAAAAAAAGAATTTACTTTTTGAAATCTTTCTTTTGATCTAATATTAATATAGGATCTTGAATAATATATGTATATGTTAGATTTGAGATTGCTTATTAAACATAGAAAATTTTTGATTAAATCACCTAAAATTTTGCATAGCAGATAACAAAATTTTAATATAGTCAGATATGTATTTGCATAGCAGAGATAAAAATT